CGCATATATATATATATACACTGTATATATGCGCCGCCACATGCATCTTTGTACTGGGCTACATATGTCTGCTATGTCCTGCTGGAGTGTGACATGATTTGTTTGTAGGAGTAGAAATTACAGATAATTGTGTGAAAATGTAAGAAGTAGACGTAAAAAGTAGGCTGAAAAATAATTAATCAAGTAAATTACACATACCCAAAAATTCTACCTAAGTACAGTAAAGAAGTATTTGTACCTAGTTACTTTACAACTCTGCTTAGCAGCATTACTGACCAAAAGCCAGAAGATCGCAGAAACAAGGTGATTGATGGTGAAAATAAAGACTCTAAAAATTGAATAAACAGGTTTTARAAGCTACAGTTGGTCAAAACAGATGATGAACTGTTCAAATAAAAAAATACATAAATCCAGGAGGATTTCAAGAGTTTGTTTTTCTTTTCCAACAGGTTATCGTCATTRGTCAACATGCTAACACAAGCATTCCCAGTTCAGTTAGATGGGGCTTCTGTCCAGGAAACAGGATCACACTTGCAAATACTGTACTTTGACTGACAATCATTGGTTACGTTTCCCAGATGTGAACTGAAGATAAGAGCWGCTGAGCAAAAACACAGGACGGATTCTCTGAAACTATGTGAACGCGACTGACCTGTCAGGGGCGTCGCGCGCAGCTTTACCCCCGCCTGCACGGGGCGCGGCCTTCGAACTCTTGTTGGCGGTCATGTTTCTCAGCAAAGCATCCGCCCACCTGCGGGACAAACACAAGCATGTGAGGAAATCAGTCAGCGCCTGTCAGCGAACACAAAAAAAAAAAAAAAACTGGGCTTGTGCTGCAAATTAAAACCCCTTCACGTGGAGATTTTCTCTGTTAAAGAAAACAAAATAATCAAATAGAGCATTAATGGGAACTAGTGGGGAAGATTAAATTTAATACTTTGARGAACACCAACTATAATCCATCTTTTCATAAAAACCAGGTGATCAAGATTCCTCTGAACCACAGCCAGGATTCAGGACCAAAACATGGTGCTTCAGCTGTCTGAACAGGTACATTCATAATCTTTCTGCAGCACAACACTGTTGTGCATCAGTGCCAGTCTGMAGCAGACAGTGGGGTTTAACACATGAACCCTAAAGGTCTAATGCTCTCAGATTAACATTAATATGATAGTTTAGATCTTTTGAAGTGGCYTTCAGTGGAAAGGTTAACATCTTACCTGTTGCAGACAGCAAACCTACATTTTGAAAAGTTGTTTTTAACCCGTTTTAAAACTCCAATCTTAAAGTTTTCACAGCAGACCATGCAAATGCCACTRTATTAACATCCACACTGCAGTAAGTCTCATATTATATGGTTATTTAGAGACTCATATGGTTATTTGCAAGCATAAGGAGGGGCATTAGCTAGTTGTAGCATGGTGAAGCCTGAGGCATTTCTGGCAGGAATGTCATATTTTRACTAGAATAACTACTTAATGTAGTAAACAGATTTATAAAAAGCATTCACTGGAATTGATAGAAATTCATTTTGATCTTGGCCCTGCTCAGACTAGCTATTAGCTTGTCAATCTGGTCAAAATTAAACTCGGCTTCATCAAACTGAGGTCACTGAAAAAAGCTATCAAACAGGAAAGATATTAGGTGTTCAAAGCATTCCTACTTCAAATAACCCTAATTATCCCTTTAAAGTACTGCATGAACTTGAYAGGTTTTCATGAAGTCCACTAATAAAACAAATCTCTCACTTTTGCTCTTTTTCACCACAACTGCCATGTTGAGTTTCCAGTGTAAACACCACCAACAAACCAAACATTAAGTAACAAGGCAAACACGGCACAAAGACAGCGATGCTGCCAGAAAACCCTTTGCTCCAGACATGTTGAGGTGACGGACCGTATATTTAGAGTTACACAACGGTCCCGTCTCACAGCTAAAGTGCTCCTCAACCACCTCTTTAATAATGTTTGGACACAAAACCACTGTTTAGTGTCTGCTACGCTGTTCATACAAACAAAAAAGGGCAATCGTAAGAAGGTGCAAAAATACATTTCGCTCATTTATTCCTGAAAGCACAACATATTTTAGACATCTAAATAAATTAATGGAGTCATATTTACATAAAGACAGAGTCCACAATTTGGCAAACACTGCTGACAAGTGCAGAAAATAACACGATGCATCCTGAAATAATAGTGTTCTGCTGAGAATCCTTGAACCCTGGAATTTGTGTGAGGATTAGTTTGACATCTACGACTCAGATAAACCATGATGCAAACTGTTTGCTGAAACTGACAAGCCACAGACGTCAGACCAAATTAATTAAATCTAWGGCAACTGATTCGAAATACCAGCTGAAACTGCATTGCTGTTTTCTTTTTTAAAAATCCATATTTCAAAATAAAATACACATGTTTTGTGTGTACGCATACGCTGCATGATGTCATCCGATTCCCAAATATTTTGATACATTCTGACAACATGTATGTTATACCCATTATATATTATAAATATACAGTAGCTGAGATTTCTACAAAATGTAGCCTGCCTTTGGTAAATTATTTTGAAAATACGGATGTTGTGATCGTTCTTTTCCTGTTGTTGCGGAGTGATCTTTGTAGATTCACTACACCCTTGCTTCTCCTTCCGGCAAAAATAGGACCAAATCTAATTTTGGTGGATCGCGGCGCACACACCACCACCCTGTAGAGGCAGTGTAAATGCTCTCATTGGTTATAATGGGTGCATTTTTACTGCGGAGCGGACGCAGTGTAAATTGGGGGATAAAATGTCACCATACTCAAGAATTAGAGTTCTTTGCAGCATAAAAAAACACTTTATTACCATATTACCGCTGTTTAAGCTAATCTACGTTTGCAACTAGGGTTGGGCAATAAATCGATTTAATCGATTAATTCGAATTTGCCATTTATAAAGATTTAAATTTGGGAAAAATCAAGATTTTTTTCCCCCACCAGTGCACTTTTTGYGGCTTCTGTAGTTCTGAGGTCACCCCACCTGTCCCTCAAGACGCTTGATACACGACATGACAATATGGCAGCTAGCAAAGAGGATATACTTCTCAAAAAAGGCACTGTTTCTTCAGTTTTCTGGAACTGGTTAGGTTTTACAACCTCAGACTTGGAGCAARGAACACCTCACTGCAAAATCTYTTTGAAGGCTCTTGCTACAAAAAGCAGGAGTACAACAAATTTGTTTCAACACCTGAAACAGAGGCACTCCGTTAAGTGGGAAGCAAAATCAATTAAAATCAAAATCGAATTTGGGATGAAAAAATTCTGATTTTTTTTTTATTTTTAGGCCATATTGCCTAGCCCTATTTGCACCCTCACAGAACTTTAAACTAGTTCAGTAATAACATGAAGAAGCAAGACACCACAATGTGATATGCTTCTCTTTTTCAGGGAAATTTGGTAATATTTGAAAAGCAAATATTAATTTAAATGGTATATAAGCCTCATTAGAAAAATAATGAAAAAGGTATCAAGTGCTCTTCAGCTAATCTTGATCATACTGTAACTGTGAACAAAATGTTTAAAAGTGATAAAAAGCTTCAAAACCTACCAACATTTTTATTTAGTTGTTTTACCCATTCATCCATCTGTTTTCTGCCAGTTTTCTATGATTTAGAGGCAACGGAGCTGGAGCAAGACCCAGACCTCCRACTTTCCAAGGCATTCCCAGGCCATAGGGGACACGTAATCCTTCTGCCATGTTCTGGGTATACCCCAAGTCTCTTCTCAATGAGACATACCCAGAAAACCACCAGAGGTAGGKACCCAGGACACAATCAGGTTTCCGAACCACCTCAGCTGGCTCCTTTCGATGCAGGGGAGCAGTGACTCTACTATGAGCTCCTCATCTCTGAGGCTGAACCCAGACAACCAAACGAGGAGGCCCAGTCCAGCTGCTTGTAATGTGACCCGAAAGCACCAACAGAACCACATCATCTGCAAACGCTGAGGTTTCCAAACCAGACACACTCCTCTCCAGAACTGATCTTGAACATGAACACCACAAACAGAACCAGTAATCGGGGGACAAGCCTTGGGGGAGTCCAACCTGCACGGGCAGTTGGCTTGTCTTTAAGCTGAGGATTTGAACCCAGCTCTTGTTTTGGTTATACAGGGACTGGATAGCCCTTAGAGGTGACCCCAGCACCCCATACTCCCACAGCAACCCCCCTCACAGAATCCCCAGAGGAACACGGTCCTAAGCCGTCTCCAATTCCACAAAACACATGTAGACTGAAGAGACAAACTCCCATGACCCCCTCAGCAACTCTGKAAGAGTAAAGACCTGCTTCTTTGTTCCACTGTTACTTTGTTCTCTACTTACATTAAAGACAATCTGTACAGCTCATACATAATGCATCAAACGCCTGTTTGAGCAAATGATATAAACAAAGTGTCTGAGTCTTTGACTTGTCAACTGTCAATCATTTTCTAACGTCACATCCTATTTTAATTGCTGTGTGACATCCTCAGAACAAAAAAACTAAACAAACTTAAGATATCTTCCCCACAGGAAACTTTTCCTGGACCTTATCTCCCATCAGATCAGCAGTTAGCTCAAGCCTTCCCTTAAACAAGAGGCCAGCGCTCCTGAAAACGCAACAGTGACCCTTTTAAGAGGGCTCAAAGCGACTGTTCTGGTGCGTAAGAGGGTCAAACGGAGTTCCCCAGAGATCAGAGGTGGAGGGTAGGAGGGGTGCTTGGCAGCATGGCTTGTTTACAGGAAGTTGTTGTATGAAAGAGCCAACCAACCAGCGGTGGAGCTGATTCTTAAAGAGACAGATGAGGAGAGAGAAGGTGRATTCCTCCTGTCAGCTATTTCCTGTAACTMRGGCCTGATTTTTGGCCTGATATTTTCATCCAACACTAAAAAATGATGTCTGGTGTGTTTTCCTTCAGCAGTTCAACCAAGTTCACGCATTATATTTTAAACATGCGCCTGACTCAAACATTTGTTCCAAAATCAAATTATTCTAAAGTTTTATGTTTTGGGCACCTACAACACACAATGTTCAGATATTCTTTTTTCTATCAATTTTAATGAATGTTCACTCATCTGCAAATGTTTATATTATTAGTTGTTTTGGGTTTTTTTTTTTTTTTTTGTAAAAATAAAAACTTAACTCCAGAATTGGGTCACAGAGGCCCAAGATGGACTCTGCAGTGTAAACACCAAGGCGTTAGCCAACTGACTTCCTGAGCTCTGATAGCATCTCCCTCCACAAAATCACGGGCTGTAAACAAGCACTTCTGACAAACCTCCAGAGTACCTTTAAAGTGCATTCAAGCAGATTTAAGACAACTTTTCTCCAGAGACGTCAGAGACAAGCTAATGGTCAACAACTGCTTGAAAAGAGATGTTCTGAACTCAGTGTTTTGATTACAAAATTACTTTTTTTTGTTGCATAATAAGGTAAATATGTTCTCACCAAAGCCCTAGCTTATTTAATGTAAAGGTTCAGTTTGCACATGACAGGCAGCAGTCATGCAGCAGCTTTGTTCTTTGGCCTTAGAACAAGCTGTGGCTATTTGGTTCTGGTAGGATTTTGCAATTTCTCATTCTTAATACGGCTTTTTTCTCTAAAATTCTATTTCAAATTAGTCTAAATTGACTCCGATGTTCAACTTCTTTTATATTAATTTGGACCTCAGAGTCATCAATCACAACAGATTTGCTTTTCATTGTTCTTAATTTGACAAACAGCATAACGTTAGT